TTTCCATCGCGTGGCTCTCACTTGACACATATGCTTTGCTGAGTTAATAATTTTGCTATCTTTAGTTTCTCTGACTGTACAATGAGAATGATTATGCTTACAAAACTCTGTTAGTTAAATTACTGATGGTCTTTAGCTGAATTATATCTTTGCTTATCTGGTATTATTTTTAACAACCTGCTAAAAGCCAAGTTGAATTCTCCTCCTTCATACAGTGTCCTATATCTGTTCTTCAAATAAAGATTTTGCAACAGAAATACATGGGGACATCTTTATTTTAAAATTATATTTAAAAATATCAGGAATTAATATATGATGAGAGTATATATAGTTACAATGCATTAAGTTGTACATAATTGTATATAAATAAACTGCAAGGAATATTAATTAGGTAAAAATTATTAGAATGTGAGAAACATTGGACAGAAGTGTACTTGTTGAAGCTTTCTGGCAGAATTGTTAAAAGTTAGAGCTCTAACTTACATTAGCTAATTTACATTAGGTGTCACCTAAGTGTGCACATTCTAAAATGAGTTTCAAGAAGCGCTAGATCCATTAGATAATATAATAAAGATCATAAGGAAAAGGCCTTCCATGGTTGGATAATTTGGGGAAATGCTAGGTTAAGCAGAGTTGAATCTGTTTCTTTCCTGGTAGAATTTTTCTGCTGCATTTTTCATGTGAGCGTGATTGCACGACTCTTTTACTGTAGGGTATCTTTTGAGACAAGTGTTATGTGGTATGGGCTTTGGAAAATACTGCTTTATTCCAACTTTTTCACTTTCCAGATGAGAAAACCAAGGGTGAAAGTGGTGATTTGCTAATTTATGTAGAGAGTCAACCTGAATACACACCTGGATAGTTGACCCAATCTGATGTACTGTCTACCATGCTATATCGCCCCCATGGATTTCACCCAAGCAGCGTCGGACAGACAAGTGTTTTATTCCTAGAGTCTAAGGGACGAGATACCAACACAGCTTGTTCTGGGAATCCATTATCCAGGGCTTAAGACCCTTCACAGTTCATAACTAAAGTTCTAGAAAACCCCACAAATTCCTAAATCCATAAGCCATAGGTTTTTTCATCCAGTGCCCACTGTGCAATATAAAAAGATGTTTATCTTTGAAGATGAGTCTACTAGGGCTCAAATTACAGCTTCACCACTTATTAGCTGTATGGCTTTGGGGCAAGTCACTTAGCCTCCCTGAGTCTTAGTGTATTAACTCTAAAATGGGGCTAATACCTCGCAGAGTTTGGGCGACATTAAATATATCTAAAGTGCCTATCTGGTAAAGGCATTTGATAAATGAGACCTATTTTTATTCTGTAACAATGCCTGAAGGAGATTTAAATAATTTTTGTGTAGTTCTGATATTGATCTCAGTTCTTTCATTGTAGGGCATAGTGAAATTTTTGTTGAGATTTTGCTAATAGAAGCTACCTGTCCCGCTTCTGCTTTTCTTACCATCTGGTACTTGGGTCTCTGATGAACCTTGTGAGTGTCCTGTATTGGCACATACCATATCCCATTCTTGCACATTTCACCATTGTTCATATTGGACAAGTCACTTTATTCCATCAGGGCTGATAAACAAATTGCATAGAAGTCCCAACTTCTTCAACTATAGTGGGACAATTTCAGATTTTCAAGTAAGAAGTCTTCACCAACTTGATTTTTTGCTTGCACTAGCTATTTCTGTTCCTGCTTGTTGCTGCAGGGATTCTTGTACATGTTGAACTTGCAGCTCTATTACATTCCTGCAAGCACCTATGTAGGTGCACATTTGGAAATCCTTTCTTCATTCTGGCAGAAAGGAATTTTACAGACTGCCATCACTTTTGGCAGGGAGAGAATGACTTCCATCCGAGTCAAGTGCTGCTTGAAAGAGGCACTCCCCCATCACTTATACAACCGTACTCAGTGGTTACTGCTTGTGACACATTTTCAAATGGACCCCCCAGTGGCTGCAACTGTGATTAAAAGCTGCCTGCTCTCTGCCTCATGGGGGTTTTCTGTTTAACCATGTCAGGCACATATACATGTGGGCTGCAGGTGCATCACGGCAAATGTAAAGTGTTTTGTAAGATGAAAAATCAAATGAAAACTTGAACAACAAACTCCTGAATTTTCCAAGCTCAAGTCACTGAAAGTCACTGGCTGGAACCTTAGCCGTGTATGAGCTGCATAACAGTAATTTTTTAAAAAAGAGCTAATGGTCAGTGAATATATACCACTGACAGTACATGCTCTGCACACATAATCCAGACTGAATATCTTAGAGATTCAAGTGCACTTGAATTTAGCAGCTGCATTTCAGCTCCTGTATGTGATTTGTGGTTCACTTAACCATTCACAAATAAAGCAAGAATAGAATATTCTTGTTTTAAGATTACTCAGATATTCACTGATACACTAATAACCATGTTTGGCTTATCATGGCATAGTGCATGCCATTCTAAACACAGTTTACCATTAACACTACCTTAAAAAATGTTCAAATGAGCAATGTGTTCTCAAAGATTGGGTGTCTTGGAGGCACATGTCACACCTCTTCCTTTAGATTAGAGATATTGAGTATTCAACATTTCATAAAATAAATAGGATGTATTAGAATATACATCTGGGTTCTTCATGTGATAACTATACTTATCAAAACCATGAGGTAGAGCAGTGTTCCTTTCCCAGCCCACTCAGCTCCACTAACAGAATAAGAGGAATCCAAACACATATTCTTTCTTAGATACATAGGAAAGAAATTCCTGGAACATTTGAGAATTTTATGTACCCTTTCCCTTCTGCCTGCTTCCCCCTGAATTTTAAGCTCTCCAAATCTCAGCAACCAAACATAGTATATGAAATGCTAATCTATCACCAGCAAATTTAGGCTGATAATACTGTGAATCGACCACATTGATTACATTGATTATATTTCAAATATTTACAATATAGTGAGACAAGCCTAATTTATTTTCTAAAGAGTTCAAGGTAGGTATCACTGTTTCAGAGGGGGTAACAATGGAGAAAGGTTTGTGGTTGCTATCTGCAATAATCTGATGCTGACAGAGAGTAGTATTTTATTTAGTAATTAACAGTGTAAAGGGGAGAGGAGCTGTCATGTTGGTTCTTAAGCTAGGGAATGTGATGAAAGATGATATCTGCGATCTCATCCTTTCCACTTGTTTAGGATTGTCAGGATGAGAAATGTCAGCATTATGAAAGCTCGGCTCTGCTCTTGATATGATAAAACCCTTCAAAAGCCAGTCTTTCTCTCTCCCTCGTCCCCCTCCTTTCTCACTCTCTCTCTGCACTTGCTTTTTGTTTATCCTGTTTTGTTAGATGGCAGAAATATAATTCTTTTCTTTCTTCCTATTATAAGCCACCATTTTTGTTTTATTATATGTTTCACAACCCCTAATGCCCCACTGAAAATTACCTTGTTAAATGACAGTGTTTCAAAGCCATGAATCCTTTCCACCATTCCCTCAGAGGTTTGAAACAGTCAACAGACTGTAAAGAATAAATAATAAAAAAGTATTGATTATTTTGATGACTGTGAGATTCAATTAAGTATTAATTTTGCCCTCCAGTGGACCTATCAAGGTATTCAAAAGGGAGGATTCGGCTCAGCTAAATGCGTGCTGAGTGCTTCAGCCTTAAATAGGGAGAAAATGTGTTTACCTACAGTATTTGAAGAAGAAGTGCATTGATGCACAGAGTCCAATATTTAAGTGCTGTGCAAATTAAGCCCTGGCGACAGTGACATTGTTTTCAGTGGTATGAGTATTGACTAAAGAAGTGCATTTGATGACAGCTTAAACTATTTGTATTGATTAACATTTTCATAGATTATCATGTGTCATATCAAATTCACTTTTCAGGCATGAATACATTTAAAAAAATCACCACAGGCAAACCACAACCAATGTAATGATGGGACAAGAGAGCATGTGGCCCCACCTGCTCCTGCACTGGTCACCTGTTTCCTGGTCAGGAACCGTTTAGGCATGAACTTGGCAATAAATAGCTCCCAGATAACACAAACAGGGCACTTCTTGCTTTTTTCCCGTCTGCATCCGATATTTTTGCTAAAACAATATTATGCATCTTGGTTTGCAAATGGAATAAAAGGCTACACTTGGAAAATATTTCTGATCCTAAATTGCCCCCTTAACGAGCTGAAGATAAAGCAGGTTTAAATTACTGGGGCTGAAAGTTTGCCGTTTTTGAAGGTGATTTTTTCTTTCCTTTTTCTTTAATGCTCTGGGTGTATGATGATCTAGGTTTCCGAATTATTGAACACAGTTTGTAAGTATTTTTCCAATTCCTTGAAAAATGTTTAAACCAATTTTCATATATTTTGTTGTGTGTTGTTTGCTTTGAAATGTTTATTTGATTTGGGGTTAGTTTCGGTCCCCAATCTGGGACTGGTGGAGTCGATTTCTAAGGGTGCGTATGGAATTTACATAAGAAATCGCTTTTATTCCAGTGACAGCGTTTTGTGGACTCTTTTCTCCCTCTTTTCTCTGTTCTGGGGATAGGGCTTAATTGCTTGTCCCCCAGGGAGAGGGCTTCTTAAAATAGCCCGAGGTTCCCCCATAGGGTGCGCCTTCCTTTTCAGTGTGTTGCTGAAGTACAAGCCCAGCACTTTCTTTTTTCTTACTGCATTAAAGACAGAACAAGGTGTGAAAACATTCGCACAAAAGCACATCCCACAATTAAAGCTGTGTTGGTTAGGTTGCTTTCAAAGAAGTTTTTTTTCCTCCGAAGCCTCCCGAATCTCTCACATGCTAGTTGAGCTTTAATAGGGTGGGGAGTCATGGAGAACTCCTCGGATCTGTAATAGCTCTTCACTCGACTGCAGCGGCAATAACCGCGGCGCGGCCGAGATAAGAGGAGACAGGGAGTGTGCGTGTGCAAGAGGGAAGAGGCAGAGGGCACGCACACTAACGCTGCCACTTTTTCCTCCCCTCCACTCTGTCCCCCGTCCTAGGATCCAATGATAGCTGGACAAGTCAGTAAGCCCTTGCTGTCAGCGCGGAGTGAAATGAATGCGGAGTTGAGAGGTGAGGACCAGGCTGCGACTTCAGACAGCGAGCTGCACGAGCCTCGGCCCGCGCCTGCGGAATCCAATGACAGCGAGGACACTCCCAGCAAGCTCTTCGGTAAGTCCGTCCAGGTATTTCATTTCAGCCCTGCCGTGCTGTCCGGAAAGCAACCCACACACCCACCCCCTCTTTTTTCCCTGTTGTTCATTCAGTTTTCTCCTAAGTCCTAGCAAGAGGAGGCTGGCACCCTGGAGGGGCTGAGCCACTGCCGCGGATTCCAGCGGGCTGGGAGGAGGTCCTCCAAACTTTTCCCCGCAAGGAACTTCCCCGCTGCCCGTTTTGACTTGTCAAATATTGCTAAGTCCCCAAGCTAGAAATTATTTGAAAAAAGAAGATGGTAATAATAATCAGGAAATCAGTTCCATTGTGAGAATTGGTTAACAATTATTGAATAAACATTGACTCGGTTTCAGGTTGCTTTGCAGCCTTTTGTTAAGGTGAAGGAAAGTAGAGTGTCATTATCTGTAGTCAAAAGACCGGAGAAGAGAACTGAAAAATATCAATACAAGTCAATCGGTGCCAGGTAAACAAAGGTGACTGCAGGAATTGTCCAAATAAATAACATTTTATAATCACAATGAGTATCTCTTCTTTTAAAAGGGTGATGAGGAAAGAAATTAGGTCCTTTTTGTGTCCCTTGCCCTAACTTCTCCCCTTTAGCATGTTTATAGCCTCTTGGTAAGTGTAGACGCAGCTCAAGACCTTTGAGGAATCTTTGTTTCATAAACAAAACAAAAACAAGCAGTGTGCCACTCCAGTGAAAACATCTGTTATTCAAACAGATGACACTCTGTAAGGCAACTCAAGCAACTGTGATCTCTAATCAGGAAAGGGATCCTTTGGTTGTTGAGGCTGGGGACTGAGTGGTGGATGATGATAGATGTCTCTGCTGGAGAAGCACTTTATGGGATAGAGTGACATTCAGCTTTCAGAACAGTTGCTCCTGAAACACTTGCTTTTAATTATTTTCCAGTGTTTATGTCACTAAGTATTTATATATCTATCTCTCTCTAAAATACATACTTACCTGTTTATATTCATACACACACACACACACATATATACACTAATCTGATATATAAACCTGGTATGTATATATGTACATAACCAGGCAGAGAACTGCTTGGCCTCAGGATATAAACAGTCATGTGCTTGAACTTAAAAACCAAACCAAACAAAAAAAAACAACAGTGCATAGTCTGCTTTGTTAAGAAAGTCATTAATTCAGTTTAAAAAATGAGCTTTATCTTTGTTTAACCTGTAGAAAGAAAAGAGCTTTGATAGTTTTGGCAACTCTAGGCCTGCTTCAGCTGAGGAGTTTTTCTCTGATTTTAAATGTTCACTCAATCAAACATTAGAGGGGTGTTGCAGAAAAACTTTGTTAAAATTTCTGTTGGTAAAACACTGTTTTATAGTAGATTCCAGTTTCAAGAGATTCTGTCATATTACCCATTCTTTGAAAAGCAGCATTTCTACCTCTGACATAAATTTTCCACACCTAGGCATTAAGGTTTTAGCATTTCACTCTAAAGAAATATTTTGTTGTAGTTTCTTTTTATCTGTGTAGGAAGAGTTATTTCCTTAAACACTCATTTCATTTCAGGGGGTTAGTGAGAAAAGTCAGATAAAATTATAAATTAAAAGAAGGAAAAAGTCATGTTCTAGTCTCTCTGATGTTGAGTAACTAACACTTTAACTTTTCAAAAGTAATCAATTGTGTATTTAATTTAACCGCAGATAAGGAATTATTTTTCCCTAAACTTTCCATGCATTTTTAAAAAGTAAATGTATTTTGTAGACTTTGACTTATAACCCCAACTTGGGTTTTTTTTTCTCATTTTCCCCCCACTGGCTTCAACTGAGGGGTAATTAATTTGGCTTGTCAACAATTCTTTAGATTTTCCACCATTGAAAATTATTATAGATTTATGTCACTTCTTACTGATTTGCGTATATAGAGAAATAGTTTTCAAAAATCCAAGAGAGTCAAAGAAATTTGAAGTAAAACTTCATTGGAAATACATAGTAAGTGAAATCTTTATGGTTAAACTAGGAATCATAGTTTAGTTTAGCAGAGTAGATTTTAGAAGGTCCTGATCTTCACTATGGATTTCTCTACTTCTGAATTTGTGAGAGAGAACCCAGCACATCTACATTATATCTAATATTCTTTATATATATTCACTTAATTGTACTTGGTCTCTAGAATGAATATTTTCTAGCTTCCAGTTAGGTAAAGATGAAATCAGTAGATAAACAGTTTTGAAAGCTTGAAAAAAACCTGGAGACAGTGTGAGACAGGGAAAATAGAATGCATACTGGAAGGAAGGCATCCCCATGTTCTCTAAGGTTTCTAAGCTATTGGGTCTATTATGCTCTCACTTTTTAATATCACTGGGACTTCAGCTTAGGAATTCTAGTTTATGTAATTGACTAAAACTTTCTAGAGTAATTTTCTCCCAGAATTTTTAGCAACTTTGGCAACACTTAGTGAGTGATAATTTAATTGATCATTATTTTATTTGCCATAAATATATTCAACTTTTTTTGTTTTTATATGTAGTGTTGATTATATTCCTTATTTGAGAATGAAGAATTACATTTTTTCTGAATAACTGAGAATACCCAAGTTTGTTTCTAAATAATGATTTTCTAATTTACTCAAAGCGTCATTCCTATAATATATGCACTGTATTACTGAAAACTGTGCTTCTATAATGAAAAAAACAGATTATGACAAATCATGCACATCTTGATACATTTACTGTGTGGAGAGACATTAAGCAACATCAGGAGAAATTTCAGTATAAATAGATTTCTTTGGAGCTTATTCCTCCTTCGGTGTCTTGTTTAAATTAGCAGTCCAGAGGACAAGTCTGTTTCTCTCACAGTATGGCACCTTCAGCACAAAACTGCAGGAGAAAGGCTAATACTGATGCCCTCTATGGATAAACAAAGGAAATTCCAGGAACCATTGGGCCTTTTATGCTTCCCCTTAAATTGCACCTCTGCACTTAACAGCATCCAAAGAGAAACATACTGTGCAGAATATTTCAGTGCTCTGAGCAGCTCAGAATACCAGAAGGAGAAACCAGAAGCTATATGCCAGCTTAAGTAGAAAGTTCAGAAAAGCACCCTTGTGTTTTATAGAGTAATTACATCAGAGGTAACGTTTTGCTTAACTTGAACAGCCATGGAAACTAAAGTACACTTAAGAGAGATGAATCCACATTTCATTGAGAAACATGTGGTTAGATTGTTCTCTGTGATATCATTAAGTGGTGCATTATTTACTCTTGCAAAGCCTGTAGAATAACTATTTCCTTTTTCAGTTCCTGACTATATTATGCTAAGCTCAGAGCCCTAGGAAACAGTTTGTAGAACTTGCATTTTCCAGAGTATTACCAGAGAATCTGGTTCTGTGTCTCACTTCGTTTCAGCTATGTGGTCAAATGAGTGATGCCACACAGGGCCAGTCATTTAATATGTGACTAGTGATAAACATATTCAAAACCATTCTCACCATTGAACTTTGGGAAACAATCTCAAAGGAAGAGGTTGCTGTGTTTCTCTAGTGACATTTATAGCACTCGTGTCAATGTAGTGCTTCATTTTTAGTTATGCCATCAAGAATTCAGTGTTCCACATTCAGTGAAGTTGGATGCTAAAACTCAAATGGTAGCATCAACAACTTGGTCAGGAAAATGGCTACAGAAAGGATAAAAGTAATTTATATCCCTAGAAAAATATCTGCACTAAAGTTTGCCCATGCAGCGTCAGCTAAGAAGTGTGACCACATAAAACATACCCTAAATATTTTCTCCCCTGTATCTTTGAAATTTGAATGATGATTTATTAACAGTTTTCCTCCAAGGAATATTTTTATTGTTTCAAGTTAAACCTCACGATTGCTGTTTTTAAAGTCCCACCTCCCCGGGGTGTCTGGGCTCGTCTCTGAGGCTTGCTTCTCATTTGTATCACACTGCACATTAATTGTGGCTCACAACTTTAAACCTCGAGCTGAGATGCAAACAAAAAGCTGTTTATAAACATTGTACCTGGAATAAAAATTGGTGGTTGGTTTTCTCTTATGATATTATGTTATTCTAGATTTAAAAAAATGCATGCAATGATACTTGTAAGAGTGTGTATTTCCAGTGTCACTTAACTGTGAACTATTGGGAAAGGGTTGAAAGTTTAGTCAGCGATTCTTCCTTGCTAGAAAATGTACTGGGCTGTTTCCTTTCCTTTCTGTTATCTTTCTCATAGAAACATGCATTTTAAGATTACTTTAAAAATTGCCATCCAATTTGACTTGATTAGAATTTATGGCAGTAGAGTGGTTTTCAATGACAAAAGGATAAAGGACTAAATTGTCTGTCACCCCTTGAGACAGTGGTCTCTGCAGGTCAGCGTGGAGGTCATTGGTAGGGCATTATGAGGACTGCACTTTATGGTGATGCTGCCTCTCGCCTGTGCTTAAGTGGAGCCTTCATTATGTCATCACTGCCTTTATTATTTTATTTAAACATCTTTCTCAAGGTTTCAGTGCCTTGGATATTTATAATATCCTGATAAAATATGCTGAGGCCAATAGTCAGGACGTAGGGCTTAAGCCCAAGGGGGATTTAGCTGGGAGGTGATGAGGAAAATTCCTTAGAGAAATCTTTTTATTTAAAATGTGCATCATGAGTATATATTTTTGAAAGTTTCAATAGTATATTAATTAAAAATTCATACTATTTTTCACTGAAGAAAGTGCATTTTGCTAAGGAAATATTAAAACAGGATATTTTTAGATCAACTAAATAATTTGAGTGATAGATTCTATGCAAAAACAGTTATTTAAAAGAAACCAGTATTTGTGTAAGTAAATAGGGTGCATGTAAGGTATTTGTGAAAAATCAATTATGGTTTAATAGTTAAACAAGCCCTTGTCGCACTGCTCTCTAACTACTGAGGGGGAAATGCACATTTAGATACATTTCTTAACATTTAAGAAAATCTAATGCACTAAAGTATTTCTTTAAAAAAAACAACAGCACCCACTGAGAGTC